ATTCTGGGAGTTGAAGTCCACACATCTTCAAGTCGCCGAGGCTGAGGAATCCTTATATAGAGAACTTTGCCCAAAGAAGTATTTGCTCCCACTTTTCATTAGCATCGCCATTGAGAGGAGAAGCACTGGAGTCTCCAGTTATCTGCTTCTAGTTTTTAGTTTATGCTAAATAAGATCTTGTTCAAAATCAAGTATATTCATATATTTTGAAACATTAGTTTCACAAGCTGCATTTGGGTCGTTTGCTCCATTGTGACTGAGTTCCTACCACACAGCAAGCCAAACAAATCACCCGCCTTATGGGTCAATGCAAGGGTGGGCAGCTACTTTGTTGTGGACCATGGACTATTCCTAGCATTTGGGTAGGGCTCAGTGGAGTGGATGCAGTGGTTACTTTTTTCCAGGAGTTTTCTTTGTGTCTTTTTAAATGGTGATACTATATATCTAGACCAGTTTGGCCTAGTGGTTAAGGCACCAGGTTAGAAAGCAGGAGACTGTGAGTTCTAGTCCTGCCTTAGGCACGAAAGGCGGCTGGGTGACTTTGGGCCAGTCGCTCTCTCTCAGCCCAACTCATCTCACAGGATTGTTGTTGTGGGGAAAATAGGAGGAGGAAGGAGTGTTAGGTATGTTCGCCGCCTTGAGTTATTTAAAAATATGATAAAGGTGGGATAAAAAATCTAAAAAAAAAACCTATTGCGGAACTTACACTATAGTTCTGCATCTGTTTCCCACCTCAAAATAACAAGAATCTGCCATAAATTTTCCATATTCATGGTCAGAAGAGCCTCCAGGGGTCACAGAAGGGGATCTGAGGCCCACTTAATCTTGATGGGTGAGCCTAACCCATCTCTTCCTCATTAAGACATTTCTTAATATGGGTGCCTGATTCACCCGTGTAGGAAGAAGTATTCTCTGGAAGGAACAAGTAGCCCACATTCCTTAAATCTCAGGAAACCAGGAGCCAAGTTAGGAAGTTTGCAGGAGAATTAATTGGAAGTCAGTCCTCTGCAAATGGAAGCTGAAGGTAAAAGAATTAAATCTTTGTTCTCTTTCTTGCCAAGGACTTTCTGACAACATCTCATGCATCCTCCGAATTGGAAAAGCCCTGTTATGCGGGTAGGTGAGTTTTGACTCTACAGGCGATAGGATCAGTACATTTTGAGCATAAGTGAATGCCCTCCGAGCTCTGTTACCTTAACAGAGCAGAGTCCAGATGTGCTGAATTTCACCTCCCAGAAACCCCAACTGCAAGGGCAGGTTGATGGGGGTCTCAGGGAACTCATCCAAGAGCATCACTTTGTGGAAGGCTGCTCAGTGTTTTCTAAGGCATCTCTTAACTGCTGCTTTCTAGCATCTCTGCCCCTGATAATGAATCTTCCATCCACAGCCCAGTGGTTGTAAGCAATAGTAGAAGAGTACCAACCCCACCTTCTTCAAGTATCTAGACCCAGACGCTTAATCTGTTCATGCCTTTTTCTCTGCCAGATTGATCAAGACTCTCTGGCAGCAATATGCAGCTTGCCCTCACCATCTGGCCTCTCTGGAGCAACCTGGCAGGGACAACATGCCAGTGGAGCAAGTGAACGAGGAAGATGTGTCAGATTCTGCCCAGGTGTATTCACTGCAAGAGCACATGCTCCGCATATTGCAGGAACTCCGAAATAATGCAGAGATCACTAGGTATGAAGATACAAAACCAATCTGATCAAGGCCACGCTTGTGGGCCACTATGATCCCCCTTGGGGAGAAGGCCAGTTTCCAATGGACCGCTGACTGGAGGCATTTGTTATGGCTCTTGCCTAAGAAGGCACATTTTGGATTATTAACACAGATATACAATATCCTACCTATTAAGGCCTCTCCTTGAGTACATTTTAAACTATATTTGGTGATACAATTTCTAATAAAAAGAAAAAATAAGCTACTGTATGGAATATACTGGTGTGGGGAGCACACCAGTTCTGATATCAGGTGCACCAGCTGGTTCTGGTGAAAGGTGGTGGGATCCAAATTGTTTCTTCTCCCTCTGACAAAATCCATCCTGTTCTCCTGCGGTTCTAATGATATTCAAGGTCCATGAAACTTTTTTTTTTTTTTTAACTGCCAATGTTATCTGTCAGATTTGCTACTTCTTAATCTTGCTTTGTTTTCCAGAATTACATTTTTATGGTATTGTATTATCTACATTGAGATGTATGTCACTCTCCCCTTACAGAATGGCAGAAAGAGTCATCGGTGAAAAGCCACTCCAGGCCCTGGCCGAAATATCAGACGAAATGTTTGCTACTGGAATCAACTGGGGTCGTATTGTTGTCTTCTTCTACTTTACGTACAAAGTTATCACTCAGGTAGAAACTGGAAACAAGAAGGAAAACCTGAAGGCAGTATGTCTGTTGTATCAATAGCCTCAAGGAATAGACAGGAAAAGCAATATAGGCTGGAATCAATGGAATTTTTTTTTCCAAATTTTTTATCCCGTCTTTCTTATAAAAATAACTCAAGGTGGCGAACATACCTAATACTCCTTCCTCCTCCTATTTTCCCCGCAACAACAACCCTGTGAGGTGAGTTGGGCTGAGAGAGAGGGACTGGCCCAAAGTCACCCAGATGGCTTTCATGCCTAAGGCGGGACTAGAACTCCCAGTCTCCTGCTTTCTAGCCTGGGGCCTTCACCACTAGACCAAACTGGCTCTCACTGAATTGTAGTAAGACACATATATCAATGCCAGGGTAGGCAAAGTTGCTTTAGAGCAAGGGGGGGGGGGACCTTTGGAGGGGCACTCTCAACACTTCGGTCACAAAGAGGTAGAGTCCTATAACATGGAGGCAGGGCAGGGTTGGGAGAAAGGGAGTTTAGGAGTTATTTTTGAATTTTAAGTGCCTGTTTTAAGCAAGCAGCATCATTTTCCATTTTTCTTACCCCAGAATGATAGGTTTGGTGTAGGTTTTGAGCAGCCATGGTCAGGAGGCCTCACTGCACTGCAGAAAAGCAACTTGGGCACTGTGTGAGGTCCTTTTGCCATAGATCATTCACCCTTGCCTGAGAGAAAGGATTTCTAAGGATGAAGCTTCTTCTAATTAAAATCTTTGATCTCTGATTGGTTGTCCTTGCCAACTCATTCTCATCTTACTTGCATGTCACAAGAAGAGATACTGTAGTTTCACTGATTATGTCTGGGTCAAACTGTACACCATGTTTTATAACTATGGTTTGGCTTTAGCAAGTTTACCTTAATCATGGCGTGGCCTGCTACCCAAATCCAGATTACTGGCTAATTTTTAATTAAGGAACCATTAGTTTTCCAGGGGAAAATGCAGATGGGAGGGCTCTGTACACCTGGATCCACTACCATTCATTACTAGCTGTGATGTCAAAAGGATGACACCATTTGGTAGGTTCATCACCAGGCACATGATGCAATTACAGGCTTGCATCATGATATGTAAAGCTGTATCTTTTGCTTGATGACACACAACCTCATTGGCCCTCCTACAAATGCCCATGGTTCTCTACCTTGGTTTTTTTTTGTTCCAATAAGCAAATGGGGAGTTAAAAAGAAAGAGGATGGGGAAAAGCGGTAGCCTTTCTACCTCCCACCCATGTTGACTGCCCTTCCAATCAAGCCACTGTGTACCTGTTTTGAAGGAAAAACCAACAGGAAGGATACCTAAGCCTTCTTTTTTGCCTGGAGTGCTTTGTATGTTTGAAGCCTCCGCAAGGTATAAGGCGCCTATTTTGTCTTATGGATTGTGTTTTTCCAAATCTTCCAGGTGACTCTCTCCTCTGCCTTCACCCATCCCATATATCCTCCTCTCTTTTCCACACTCATTTAGGAAATAAATGGGCTCCTAAATCATTAGGTAATTCTTCTCAACCCAGCTCTTTTGTTTCTTTTAAGCGAGTGTTGTCCAAACTTGGCCACTTTAAGATGAGTGGACTTCTACCACCCAAGAATACCCCCACCCCCACCGGGCGCGTGGATGTCGGGGAGTGCGGAGGCGCCTCCCCTTCCATGGTGCGTTTTGGGTCAAAC